ATCACACCTCTAATGGTATCTGAAATGTGTAAGACAGTTTGTGGAAACATTCAATCTCTCTGCAAATCCAGATTTTCCTGATTATTTCTAATGAGTTTCCATATTGTGTGCCTGTCATTTCTTGTTGATGTCATAATAGCAGCATCTTCCCACGAATGCATATCTACGTTGTCAAATAAGAAGAGATTTATTTATAAATTTAGAACTTAACTTCTTAAAGTAGTTATTATCCTCAGGAAATGCTGGAGCGAAAGCACAGTGGGTAGGGCACTTGCCTTGCACACAGCCCACCTGGGTTCGATTCCTCTGTCCCCCTTGAAGAGCCTGGCAAGCTACCGAGAGTATCCCCCTGCACAACAGAGCCTGACAAGCTCTCTATGGCATAGTTGATATGTCAAAAACAGTAACAAGTGTCACAATGGAGACATTACTGGTTCCCGCTCCAGCAAATGGATGAACAACAACAGGACTGTGCTACAGTGCTACTTTAGGAAATGTGTAGCTTTGGGAAAGTTGCACCTTTTTTTTTCATTTAGTAAAATGTGTGATGTTGAGGCATCCATTTCCTGTGATTCCTAGATAATGTCTGTTTTCTTCTTTTCTTTTTTTTGTTTGAGACTGCTGTTTTTAGAGACTGTTGTGGTTATAGGTAGAAATAACCAGCTAAATCTAAATAACTCAGCTGTTACATTTTAAGAAGGAACAAGATGGAGTAATAAAAACACTAAAGTGAAATTTGATACACTTGTTCTTTGGCCTGAGCTTTCTCTAAGCAAATCCACTCTCTGGTCCGATATTTCTTAAAATGAAAAGTAAATAAGACAAAGTGTAAGGAAGACTTTAATATATTATAAATCACCTCTAAAACTGTCTGCTTGAATGTGATGGCTTAAAACTATGAACTTTTGAGAGAGAAATAAACTTGTAAGAAAGGACTTTAACACTCCAAAATTGATGTAGTGATTGTAGTAAATAGCATTAATTAGGCAAAAATGGAGAAATCTGCTTATAAGTAGAGTTGTGCCATAGAAGATGATAAATGCCATTTCTTCTGTTATACTCAAGGACTGCTAGGATTGACTAAAGGAAGAGAACAAAAACAAATGCATATCTAAGAAACTGACTGTTTTAGAAAATGCTAATAAAATATTTCAATATAGAACACTCTACTATACTATTGGTTTCCTCAAAATAAAGTAATAATATTTGTGGTTAAGTTTTTCTATCTTCATTAAAAATTAAAATGAATTTTACTAAATTGGGCTGGAGCGATAGCACAGCAGTAGGGCCTTTGCCTTGCGAGCAGCCAGCCTGGTCGAGCTGGGTTCGATTCCTCCGCCCCTCTCAAAGAGCCTGGCAAGCTACTGAGAGTATCCCGCCCGCACAGCAAAACCTGGCAAGCTACCCCTGACGTATTCAATATGCCAAAAACAGTAACAACAAGTCTCAAAATGGAGATGTTACTGGGCCCACTCGAGCAAATCTATGAACAACGGGAGGACAGCATTTTGTTAGTTTTGTTTATTAAATTAAAGTCAAGAGTGTTCTATGGATATAAGGTAACAGTTTTTATCCAACACTGGAAAACTGGAGTCAATATTGTAAATCCTTCCTCTGTAATCCCATGAAAATAAGATATTTTAAGAGTGTATCTTAGTAAAAGGGAGAAAAATTATAGAAGGTATATTCTATGCTTTTTAAGGTGTATAAAACTGTTGTATTTTTTCAGATTGTAGAATGCATACTTTTATACTGAAAGAAAAAAATTGCAGTCCTACAGAAAATACTATTCCACTCATGCCTATCCTTAATAAATATCATCATAATACAAATTGCATTTGTTAATCATTGGCATTTCTTTTGAGGATTCATTTGAATCATCAGGATTCTAAATTTTGATTGCTCATGATGAATCTCTTATAGCCTTTCTTGATTATTTTCTAAATTTGATGACAAACACTGTAACATGTCTCAGCCAATTAAGCTTGTCATCTTCCACTGTGGTCCCCAATCAAGTATTTGACTTTGGAAATGACAGGAGATCCTTATTAAAAGTCATGCTTCTTGGATAGAGATGTGGCAGCTTACATGTGGCTGAGAAGACAGGCTGCCTTCATTAATAGCGGTAAGCAGAAGGAAATCAATTTTAGGAGCAAATAACTTCAACTATAAGTAAAGACATAGTGGAGAAAGTGATGAGCATCTCATTTATACACTGAGTCATTCTAAATGAATATAATCTCATATATGTGAAAGGAACTTCAGGGTATAATTTAAATAAAAGGTGCGAAGAGTTGATAGCATTGTAGTTTTTATGAACTGTCTAGCTTAAACTGAAATCACACCGAGGGGAAAACAATGCATTTCATTGAAGTTTTACCTAAAAGTCCTAAATGGCAGAGTTCTATAAATTGTTGTAGAAGTTCTAAATTAACTTAGATTGATTATTGGAGATCATTCTGAATCATAAATGCAGAGAACTATAAACATAATTATAATTATATTTATATTTTGATAGCTAAATTCCTTGTTACAGTCTGTGTGCATGATAGGTCCTATATTAAAGTAGAAAGGACTCTGAATCTATCAAAGCAGAGAAAAATAAAGAGATGTTTAGACTAAGATGATCTGATCTCATGTTTTACATTTTCACAAGGTATTTTTCCTATTCCAAGTTTTGAATTCAGCTTAAAAAGGACAAAGTATCCCAATGTAGAAATATTCTCAAAGAATTTACATGTGCTCATTATACTAGGTGGATTACGAAAACACTTATAAAATTTGGCAATAATTTGATTTCTAAAATGCATATTTGTGTTTGAGTTACAGAATGCTTTGCATAAAAAATGAATAGAAAAGTGCCTTTTCTTTTGATATAAAATTAATAGGATCTACTCACTTTGAAGTCAAATAACAGCACATTCAACTGCAATAAATAATTATATTTGCATTTTACCTTTGGGAGAGAGAAAAGTAATTCTAGACTTCCTGTGAAGAAAAGTGACATTTCCTTGTGAACTCTCAGTGCACATCACAAAACATCTAAGCTGCAGTGGTTCAAAAATCAATAGGTTGACAAATGTCAACATTTCTGTTACTGTCACCAAAGAGGGAAAAAATGACATGCAATAATGAAGAGTTCTGATTTAGATTAGACAGATAAAGAACATAAATGCTCATCAAAAGAGGAATATAATAAAACTATAGGAGAGACTGTTCGGAGGTAAAAGCGAAGGGCATAATTATCTGGGAGATAATTTACCCCCCAACCCACTTTATTATAAGGCAAATCTGTATACAAAACCCAGAACTGTGTCTGTGTTACTCCCATCTATTCACTTTGTGAACTGATTTTCTGGTGTCAAAACTAATAGTTTTTAAATACTAGTCCTTATAACAAAATGATAGTATACACTATATAAATGCAGTTGGATTCTTGGGAATAACATAAAACAATATATGGGTAGCAACCCCCTGGAAGTTCTTGTCTTCAAAATATTTTGACAGAGAACAAGTTATTCTCCCTTTCATTCTCTTCTCAAAACAAAAATTAAATAGCAATCAGGGAGATTGTTCAAAAGACTGGAGTGCTTGTTTTAAATATCGGAGGCAGGGTTTAATCCCCTGTCTTGTTCAGTTTCCTGAGCACTGCTGGGAACAAACTTTTTTTTTCTTTTTGGGCCACACCCAGCAATGCCCAGGGGTTACTCCTGGGTATACACTCAGGAATTACTCCTGGCAGTGCTTGGGGAACCATATGGGATGCTGGGGATCCAACCCGGGTCAGCCGTGTGCAAGGCAAACATTTTACTGTACTATCCGCTGTACTATCACTCCAGCTGCAACAAAATTATTAACACCAAGTAAAGATTAGTTTAGTGGCTGTGTATGACTACAAAACAAGAAATTATAAATACATTTAATAGTAGTAGTATACGTAATCATTCTCCAAAATACGCAACAATTTTAATTCCATACACATGTTGCTAATTCTTACCTGCTGTATTTTTTCTTAAATTTTAAGAGCCCTCTGACTATTGTTTAACCTTATAGGAACAGAATGCATTGCCAATACATTAGGCAACATCATAAGTTAGCAATTCATGCTGTTTCATCACAATTTTAGGAGCTCGAACATACTTACCCTTTACACTGCCTTCTGCAAACTATTTCTATTCAGCGAACACACTGGCAAAAACATTTCCATGTGAACACTCAGGGACTATTTTGTAACACATATTAGGCCATTTTACATGGTGGGTGGAGGGGAAATTGTGGGTTAGGGTGGGGTTAATGGGAATAATGCTAGAACTTTCACATCTATAACCTACTTATACTTTGATTTTGTACTTTTTACCACCAAAAGTACTATCAAATTAAGTTCTGCTTTCGATGAACTTTGATATTTTAGAATTATTTTTTAAATATAAGGTTTTGTCTATTTGCAGATCAGAAATATTGTGTAAGCCAGGAGGATTTCAATTGGCAAAAGTACACAATTTCTGGGATAATTTATAAATAAAGAAGTTTATCTATTTGTATCTCATAATTTCCCTGAGGCCTATGTAACATAGGCATGTTACATACCCATACCCCCATACATGAATCGTTATACAAACACATATTTTGACTTGAAAATGTCTGATCATCCCTGTAACATACATATGTATATATACTATATTACTTGTCTATGCTCTACATTTAGTAGAATGTCCATTCTTCTCTTTTTATGTCATGTTTTTGCAAAACCTTATCTTTAATAAATATAAAGTTTAAAAACTCTTTCTGGGTTTATGGGTTGCAGAGTTTTGAAAAATAGAATATTTTGGTAAGGTATGAATATGCTATATTTTATACACTATATAAAGGGTTTGTGGCGGGAGGGGTGGGGGGATGGAGGAGGGATAGGGCGGAGAGGGATTTGCCTGAAATTTCCTAAAGATCAGCAGAGTCTGCTGGGGAATGACAATCTTCAATGACTTCTGTTCCTTGCCTTTCAGATTCAAGACCTCTTCCTGATGTTGCCCTGACTGGGAAGTGCACACGGGAATGTGATGAGTATGGTCACTCAGACTCCTGCTGGATGCCCGTCCGTACTTCTCCGGAGCGGAAGAAGAGCCAGCCCAAACTCTCCACCTTCATGCCTGTTGATGAGCGAGGAAGCCAGGAAAAGCTGGCCAATGGCGAGGCTGCCATCATGGGTGACCGCAACAGAAACCTCCTGAACAAAAAGTTGACCTCCTCCTATGAGACCTTCAGCGCAGCTAGTTTCAGCAAAAATGAGGAAGCCAACCCTGAGGATATTCCCCTGACAAAAACAGGGGAATACAAGCCATCTCCTGTCAATACTCTCACTAGAAGAGAAGTGTACCTGTAGGCTAAAGGAGCAACAGCAAAATTCTTTTTCTGAATGAGAAGGAGAATAAGGGGTGACACAAAGAGAAAGTGTTTAATGGAAACGAGGGGGCTACCAAAGAGACAAAGCTTTGCCTGCCACTTCTGCCTCCAGATCAGGCCTTGAGCGATACTATTAGCCTGATTGTAATGTACTATGTAGAAACCATCCCTGTTACTTGCATGTCTGATCCCCCCCACTGATTCCTAACACCCACTTTTCCTCTTCTGCAACCCCCCCCCAAAAAAGAAAAAAAAAACAAGATGGCTGCAAGTTTCTTTTATGGTTACAAGCCTGATTAGCAGAACACAACACACATTCATTTTCCCTTAGCTGAAGCATGGTTGTAGTCACTTTGATTTAGTTTGAGTGTTATCCGGCTGGTCAAAGGAAAAAAAAAAAGGCAAATTAGAAAAAATATATTTCAGACGTATCCAGTTTGCCCTTCATTATTATGAAGGGCAATCCCTCAAAAGTGATCCAATTCAGAATATCTCAAAAAACACAGCCCTTACAAAGAGGGACTCTAGTCCGCATTTGGGAAGATCCATCCCAGCTTTGAAATTTTAATTTAAAGAATGAGAGTAAAATAATACCCAGTTGGTGAGTGTTGTCCCAAGTTGTCATCTGTTATTCTTTTTAAGTCAGAAGCATTAATCAACTTCATGCTTTCATTGAGTATTATTAGTGTAAACACAATCTTGATTAAATATATCTATTACACTAGTTATAAATTGTAAAAGTATACATATCTATTTTTCTGAACAGCATCACTATTATAAAGTAACTGGAACAATTGTGTCATTAAAAGGCCAAAGAACATAAGGCAGATCAGGGAAATTATGAAATAGATTTGGTCTTGACAAGAAAATCCACTCAACAAAAGCAACTGAATCCATGCACTCAAAATAGCTCAGAGACTGCTTTGTTTTATGTTGTCTCTATACCCAGAAAATATGTTTTTATTTGTAAATTTGTTTTATTTGCCATTGTAAAAATGAAAAACTAATGAGCCCCCTTTGTGGATTATACTGGGTAATTAGTTTTTAAAAGTATCAGGGAAGATTCCATTTTAAAAAAATAAAAAATGTGTTGTGACTAGGTTATGGACAGAAAGACATATTACATACAGTCATAGGAAAACATCCACACTTACTATAATTGAAGATAGGCTATGCTAGAACTATTATCCATATTGCAAGAGGCCAATGGCATATTTTACTTGTTCTATGCACACTTTCATATAATACAAGTGCATTAATTCTGAATCCTGTGCAATACAGAACTATTTCAAGACAGCATTGAAATAAGGTGACACTTTGTGTGTGTGTGTGTATATATATATATATATACATATATATGTATATATATATCCTAAAACAAATTCAAACTAAACATAAAATTAATTTTGGTGGTGATATATTTTAAAGTGTACATCTCAAAGTGGAAACTATGCAGTTTAGTATGTGTATGTGTGGTAAAACAAAATATGAAGGCCAGGGACACAGTAAATTGCCTTGCCACACACCCAAGGTAGGTTGCAGTCCAGGTACATAAATAGACCCCTGAGCCCTGTCAGGAGAGATCCCGGAGCACAGAGCAGGGATTATGGCATGAACACTACTGGGTGTGGGCCCAAACTACAAAACAAAGCAAAAAGAAAAAGGATATGCAGTGACTTGTTCTCTAGAGGAAGATATAATGCAATTGGAACTTCAGCTGGGACATGTATACAGAAGTGATAATCTAGGGCCAGGATAGCGGGTAACAGGATAAAAGAGCAATTATTTCCATCACTGGATGTTTATGACCTGGTTATGGCATTGCCTTGATGGCTTTCTAGAAAATTGTAAAGACAATGTAGCTTTGGATAGTTTAATGCTTTACAGAATTTCATAGACTTTAAAACATCCTGGAATATAGGTTGTAAATTTGCTCTAAGTGATTAAAATGTTTATCTTTTCAAACCACTTCTTTGTTTGATGGGGTTCTCTTTGGGGGTCATTTCCTTAAAATCATTTTTTAAATGGAGTTTTCATGTTAATGTTAGTTTTTGTACAGTAGTTAGAATGAAAGAAGGTATGTAATTGAAGCAAAAACATTGGACTAAAATATCAATAATTGAACATGGCTATGTCTGATTATTTACATTATGGAAAGATGCAATTCTAGTACTTTGTTAGGAAACTGCATTAAAGCAGTTCTGCCTTGTATAATCTGTAAGTACCTATTAAGACAAAATAATTCTAAAGATACTTATGAAAATATATACATATTTTTTCTTGCACGTTACAGAAGAAATACTCAATTGCATAACACAGATGTTGAACAAATTTTTAATGCATTTATTCTTTCTTTCATGAGACACTTCAAACCATTAGATAGCTCATTTCACTCTATCTTGAAAATCCTCTGTTGTCTATAAAGCTAATATGGGTCTTACTGGACCTTCAGATTAATTGGATCCACATGCCCAGATGACATTTTCACCACATTCAATAAAGCTATGCCATTGCCATTTAATTTGTGAGCCTCTCTTTAGAACTAAAATGGGTGTGAAAGAATAAAATTTCAGTGTACTGTAAGTATTTGCAGTAATTCGAGTAGAATTAGCTATCATAACATGTTTATTATATTATGAGCTGGCATGACACAGAAATATATTTTGTGTTTGTATGACTTTTATTTTGAATAGGTTAAAACTGGTGCCACTCCATATATAGAGTGCTTTTGAAAAAAATCAATAAAAAGAAACAAAAAAATAAATAAATGAGTGAATGCAAAATAAGCAACTGTGCCTTTTATACCTGTTGTTATGGTAAAAAAAAAAACAAAAAACAAAAAGGTTGTTTGGTTTGGACAATGAGGGGAAATGGGCTATTCCCAACTTTTTTGATCTTGTATATTTATCCATGTTTATTTTCTGAAAATAATAAATAATATATTAAAAATTTGCCTTCTCACAAACTCAGATAATGGACCAGTCTTAAATATCATTCATTTATAAAATTAAGACATTAATATGGGCTGCATGTTACCGACTAGAATGTTATAGCATTTATTGCAATAGCTACCCGGAGAGTTCATCAGATTTAAAATTTGTCCATTTTACAAAGTAAAACATTGACGTAGAATTGTCTATTTTTGTTTTTTTCCCCCTTTAGCTGCTGTTTCAATTTTTTGTTGCACAATATATTAAAAAAATCTTCATTTTTTTTTGTACTCAAAAATATCAAGTGAACTTTGCATGCATATACATTAGGGCACATTTATAAATTAATGAGTAACTATATAAATTTATGTGTATTAAAATGTCTGTAGATTCAGTCTAAAATCTAATGTTTGTTCTGAAACTCCAGATATCTATCACTTTTGTATAGTTTCTGACTGGCCTGCTGCCTGAGTTTCAAAAAACAAAGAAGGCATTATTTTTATGAGAAGTGGAACTAAGATGTTATTGAAAATACCTGACTGGAAGATCCCCTAGGAAGCTGTCTGATAGGGAATAAATGTACTAAACCACACTGACCAGAAGCAATTTGCAAGAAGCAGCCATTCTAATAGTGTCATGAGAAAACTGGAGACCTAAATAGTTTTAATTATATTTTATTGGTGATAAATATACAAAAGCGAAGATGAGCATAAAAATGTTAAGTTTACTAGCTGTGACCCAGACAGAGCTTTCCATAACATCTCAGAGGAAGGCCTCCTTTTCCCAGCTTACTAGGGTTTACTTTCAGACAATATTTCTTCCATTTTAAAGCACTTGCATTCAGTGTGGTACAACCTGTTTGTAATGTTAATCATTGACTACTGTTCTGCTACTTGGATGTTGATAGTGAAGCAAAGAACAATTTATCATCGTTTATTATGAGTCACTATGCACGCAACTATGCTAAACACGACGAAATGTATCAAACACTCGTCCAACTATTTATGAACTATTTTACATAATTTAATTTGCTTTTGTACAGTTTTATGTAAATAAATTGCTTGTCATTTTTGTCTCTGCAAATTAAAATATAACATGGTCAAACGGTTTCACACTTGTAAGTGTACTTCTCTGTTGGTAGGCAATTCCATTTTGATTGGACGAGAAGTGCATGGATGTATGTACCAGTTTGATGTCAAATAGTTGGTGAAATTAAGACCAAGAAAGATAATGCCTTAGTAATTGACAGCTTAGGAGGGAATAGTGTTTAACTGTCATACTATTTTTCCTTATCATGAAATGGAACTTAGATTTTTTTCAGTTTCATCAAAATAATTTTTAAGACAGTTGCCTAGGTGATTTTATATTTTAAATTTTATAGTAGAGGAACTTCTCGTGATTTACCTAAAAATTGCTTTTTCCAGATGTCATACAAGGAAATTTTATATTTAGGATAAAATGAATTATACGTAAAATGTACCTCTAAAAAGGAAATGTTTCATTTTAATCTAAAGAAATATAGGGTCAGAGTGATAGTACAGCAGGTAGGATATTCGCCTTGCATGCGGCTGACTGGCATCTCATATGGTCCCTAAACACTGCCAGGAGTAATTCCTGAGCACAGAGACTGGAGTAACCCCCGAGCATCATTGGGTGTGACCCCTCCCCCCCAAAAAATAAAAAAGATACACAAAGTAGTCACAGACAAAAAATATTTCATTTTATGAAATGCAAATTAAACTTGAAACAAAAACATAGACTTTTAAACTTACTCTTATTTGGTCGTAATTTCTGTGCTTTCCAACTTTTTTTTTTACTAATTCCTTTTATTTCTTTAACTAATTTACCATACTATGAGCTTATACCCTATTATGCTTATTTTCTGTACTAATTTTTTATCTATCAAGCAAATAGCTAATTTCCCAATTTCCTCTTTCACGACCTTCCAATGAAGGCTTAAAAGAGAAAGAACATACATCTTACAAATATTAATAGATTGCATGAAACTTTTTTTCTGAGTGCCAGGAATCCATACCATAGTAGCACCAAACTAAATGGCACAAGCATGAAACCTAGAGTCTTGTATGGTAACTCGGGTGCTGGCCCAACAACGCACAAGATTTTTGTTCTATCTTCTAATACTGCTAAAACATATGTATATATGCTCTGCCTTGAAGTTTCTCATTTTTCTTTCCATTTTCTTTTCTAAAAGTTCAAAATGCTTTATGTGTAATTATATAGTCTTCCTTAAATTATTGTACATTAATATTGGTTAACAGTCTTCCTTCTCTAAAGAAGATTGATGAATGATCTAAGAAAGTCAGCTTGGACTGTAATAAGGTATAAAAAGAAAAAAAAACTTACATGGACATAATTTTGGCTCCTTAGATTTTTAATAGTGAGAACTAAACATTGTTGTATAAATCAAGGAAAAAGTATATAAATAAAAAATCTTTATTCTTTTCCAAAAATATCTTTATTTAGATTTGAGGAGCATTTTCTTTACCTACATTGTGTTTTCTGGTTAAAACACGCAACCACAATGATACACTTTAGAAAGAAAATAGACTCGAAGAGATTAACAAAAACAAGGTGTTTGCTTTCAAGATTTCTATTTGATTATTCTAAAATATCTGAAATTTTTGAAAATTATTGGAAAAGTTGTATTTATTTAGAAGCATATCTGAGTCAAAATATCTTAAAAATTTAGCACAACTCTCGTTTACAATGTTTATATTTATTACAAAATATCCACAATAAGCCAAGCAATGCTCTGACTCAATACGGGCTCAGAGCTCAGGGATCAATTCTGGTAGGGCCCAGGGGAACCTACAGGGTCCTGAGGATAAGAATCTGGTTCTGTCACATGCAAGGCAAGCACCCAACCTTCTGTAGGCTTCAGCCCCTTCACAATTTCAATATAAATTGTAGAATATGTTAACAATCCATAGATAAAGGTAAAGTTTACTTTCATGCAGTAACTCTGAAGCTGAATATACTTTGAGCACAAAATTCTACTAGTACTAAATTTCTATCTATAGTCTATGTACCAATCAAAATACTTGGCATGACTTCACAGAACAGCAAAGGAAACTAATGCCTTAACTGTTCCCTACCCAATTTAACCTGAACAAAATAAGCATTTCCTAACGGGGTGTTGAATAGGGATGGAGAAGGAGGCACTAATTACAGTTTGTTAGCTAACATCTTCAACTGACTATGAAAACATCCTGGCAGTAACTACAACATGTATGGGAATTCTGACACCCTTATTTAAAAAAGCATCCTAGCCTAATGTCTTCCTGATGAATATTGACTTAAGTTATTGAGAAGGAAGATTTTGATGGCTCTTAGCTGACAAAATTAACCTAACCTTTTTTTCCAGTTTTTTGTGTTTCAATGATTGTAACCAATAGTAAACACTGTCAAAATTCACCAGATAACTGTAGAATGCCCACCTTTACTTGGGTTTTAAAAAGCTGATTCACAAAGTTTACTCAAAAACATTGACATCCCTTTTCTTTTGACCTTTTGTTGTCTCTAAGTATTTTACAATCCTCAAGCCTTTTGCTTAGTGCTTTTCCCCTTTCAAAAGCAAACTTAGATTTCCCTGGAGGTGGAGGACTGTTAGGTAGTTAACCTAGGACTAGAGAATTTGCAATACAATCAGCTTTAGTTTAATGGAAATTTACAATATCTTTACTTGAGCTGGAAGGTAGCTGAGTGAATAGGG